ATTAAAAATTATTTTAATATATTTTAAACTTCTAGAATTAAATAAATTTGTCAAATGTAAACCTTTAACCAAAGTAAAGTCTGACGATGAACTTTTGGCGATATACTTTTAAAACGCTGGTTTGCAAAGAAAAACATATCCTTTATACTAAATGTTGTTGCTCGTATATTAACATCAAACAATTTCCTTTAATAAAAATTGTATCATTGAAAATTTGAAAGTTTGTGGGTTTATACTAAATGTTGTTGCTCGTATATTAACATCAAACAATTTCCTTTAATAAAAATTGTATCATTGAAAATTTGAAAGTTTGTGGGTTTGATAAGTCCATCAAAAATAAAGTAAATGTGAAAAATCTATCGATGATATTTTTTAAAAATAACTTGGAATATTGAAAAAATAATATAACGTGTCGAAATATTTATCGAATTAGGTGTCATACAAAACTGATTAAATTAAAAAAAAATGAATTAAAGGGTGTTTAATTAGTTACAATATTTAACAGCATTATGGTTATTTCAATAATTGTACTAACTGAATTAACATAATTAACTGAAAATGGATAAAATTTGTTGAAAACTATTAAAGTCCAATCCAATTGATTTGAAAAATAAATTGCTGTGAAAAAATTAAAACCTGTTAAGGTGGCATAAAAATTATGTTAAAATACTTAAAAAACATCTGAGTATTGTAAGATCAGGCATTCCTGAACAAATTCAAATGAATTAAAATATTTTGAAAAACCTATCCTTTATTGAAATTTTAAAAACAACCAAAATTTACATCTAAGAAAAAAATTGTAAATAAACAAAAACCAATGAACGGATTTATCTAAGTTTTGTCAGATGTATATCTTGTGTGAAAAGTTGCGTGAAAAATAGAAACTAATTTGAAACAGAAAAAACTTTAAAAATTTCAGAAAATAGTTTTTCTAATTCATTTGAATAAATAAGAATAGAAAAAACTTTTGATATAAAATATAAGATTAGTTAAATATTTCATTTAAACAGGCTTGAGTTTATAAACAATTTATAAACTTTATGAAGATTTAAATATTTTAAAATAAAATAATTTATTACTTGAATTTGACAATTTCAGGACGGTTTTCGGTATAAAAAATCAAAATATCATTAAATATTGTTGAGATGCGTCACATTAACGATCTTTGTTCAAGAATGCAGCACGGACTGTACGATCAATATTGACGTTCTGCCGGAGATGTTGACGATGGAACGCGAAAGAACGAGCGATGCCGATGGCACTAAGAGCTCTGTGCTGAAGGTGTTACAATCGACTCTTAATAAGGATCGTGACAAACAATGGAAACAAAAACAAAAAATCTACTTAACACAGCTCGATCACCATATGCAGAAACCAGAGAAAACTGTCCAACAACTAAAAAAAACTAGAGAGGCTGACCCAGCTGCAAACCCAACAGGTACCCTGGAATTCAAAGAGAACGACAACAAAAGCGTTGATTCAATTACCGCGGTTTCGGATAAAAAAATTCTCTAAACTAGGCGGATTTTGCAGTTTGTGGAGTTTGCGTTATTCAGGTGTGTTATTCAAAAAACCGTCCGTAAAAATAAATTTTTAATTTTCAAAAATTTTAAGAATAAACAAATTTTGTTTTTTCATTCGTTTGCACGATGTTTGAGCGCTGTTACGGCTAAAGTTCGAGTGGGATGGATGAAATTTACGGAACTGGGTGGGGTAACCTATTGTGTGGAAAGAAATGGTCAGTGAAGATGAAATGGAGGGTATATAAAGCATGTGTGAGAGCAGCGATGGTATATGGTGGTGAAACTTGGGTGTTGAGGAGAAAAGAGGAAAGTGTACTGCAGAGGGCTGAAAGAGCTATGGTGAGGATGATGTGTGGGGTTAAAGCGAAGGATAGGAGGAGTAGTACAGAGCCGATGTCGATGATGGAACTGAATAAGGACATTGTGACATCGATAAGGATATCCGAGATTACGGTGGTATGGACATGTGTTGAGAAGGGATGAAAGGGTTGGGATTAGGTGAGCGTTGGAGTTCGAGGTTGATGGAGTGATAGGAAGGTGTCGTCCGCGATTGGGATGGAGAGAGCAGGTGGAGAAGGGCAGAGTGAAAGCGGAGTTGCGTGATACTGAGGCGAGTGACAGATGTGAATGGCGTCGAGGGGTATTTCGGTTTCATCATAGGTACCCAAACGGCAACCCCCAATCTCAGGAAAAATGTCGTCTAAACGTGTGTTGTTGTTTGGTTGAGCGTGATGGATGATAAAATATAAGGGCAATCTTTTTTATGCCTATTCGATAAATCACCAAATCTTCGTTAACAATCTGGTAACAAAATCCTGAAGGAACAGCATTTTCTAATTTCAGACGCTCCAACAATTCATTTAATGATAATTCTTTGTTTTTAACGTGTACTTTTTTAAAATTACTATAAATACCAGATGAACTACATATAACAACATGACAAACTCTATTACACTGATGATAGTAAAGGTTACCGAAAAAAGCTTTTAATTAAATGTACATATGAAAAATGCAGTCTTAAATAATTAAAAATTTTATAATAAATTTAAATAAATTGATATATATATATATATATAAATAAATAAATATATATATAAAGTATACCCTATATATATATAGATATAATATATAAATATATATTAGATATAATATATATATATATATATATATATATATACACCATCTCTCACTACGATGAACGAAAAGATCAATATATATATATATCAAATCAAATCAAATTTTCTATTTATATAGCGCCAATTATAATTGCTTCTCATCAGCGCTCTCCTCCGATTGAAGCATGTTGCAATATATATTTTTTATTCAGCAGAGTAACAATACGTCTCTATCGACCAAAAATTACTGTGAATTACTTTAAAAAAACACCTTAGTTTGCAATATTGTCTACTTAGATAATTTGCAACAAGTTGGTGTATGAACTCGGGCTACTGATGAGTTCCTAGTAGGTCGTCCAGCCTAGAACGAGTTGGGTGTATACGGAAATGAACCTTTGGTCTTGATGAGAGATGGTGTACTTTATGTACTGGCCGACAGTCGGAAATTCTGACTATAAATATATAAAATATATCTTTTTTTTGTTATATATATATATATATATATATGTACATATTTTTTATGTTGTATATATATATAAATATATATATATTTCTATGTTGTATATATATATATATATATATATATATATATATATATATATATATATATATATATGTTGTATGGAGAAGATATTTTATGCAGTCAATCAATCTTCGTTTAGCGTCCAGAGACCCGGTTCCCTGAGGTAGGACGTTGTTTTCTTTGCCATCAACTTTTTGCGCCAAATTAGACGATCAGCTGTATCTATTTCATTTAAATTTAGAGCTTTCATGTCTTGCTCAATTGTTTGCGACCAGGACTTCTTTGGACGGCCTTTGGGACGTGTACCAGGTACTTCAACATCTGCAAGAGAAGTTATGGCACTGTTTCCACTTCGTTTAACATGACCAAACCACCTCAGACGGTGTGGCCGGCATTCATCCTTTATATCATCTAAACCAGCACGACGCAAGATTTCGGTAGAGGTTCTTTGATGTTTTGTTCCAGTTTGGTTGTTATTGGCCATGTTTCTGCACCATATAACAACACCGGACGTATCACAGATTTATAAAGTCTTGACCGTAGTGGTAGTGGGATGTCACGCCGCATCAATATAGAGATGCCATTTATTCCAGGCTGCACGCATGCGTGCTCGAACGGCAGCTTCAGCTGTTCCAGTACAATCCAGA